GCAATGGATGACAGTTATTATTTAATTGAATTTGAACTTTCCCGTTGGCTGATTGGACCGAAGTGCTCAGCCTCTGTTGACATTTTGGGTCCTTGTGGGGATGCTTCAATGATGTCTAAGGATTTCACTTGAAACAGTTAAATCCAAATGACAAGTCCCAGATAGAGGGAAACGCGAATCCTAGATTCCACTGCTAGTCATCATCGACTTCACACTTAATTAATGACGATAACCACAGTTCGCTTCATTTTCAACACTTAATATTTGAACGCCCACCAAATTACTTCAGATCCTCAGGCATCGTTGAAACATCCGCACAAGCAGCCGACATGTCTAGAGAGGTCCAGTCACTCAACAGGAAAATCCAAATTGAAATAAATAATGGTTAAGTCTGTGTGTATTCTTTGTCATTAACTGAGGGTTTAATAACACGAAGAATCTACGACTGGCTAATCCATTGTTTTTAATAATAATATGAACCAATCATAACTGCAGTGGAAAACATCAATTTTGACTAGGTTAGTTGTTGATGCCCTCAATTCCAATCAGACACCAGCAAAAGACTAGCTAATGTCAACCGGGCGATAAGAATTCATCCTGTTGTGTGTAGTTCCGCCGCTTAAAGTTAAAAAAAGGGGGAAACTGTTCGTGTGTAAAAAATATTATCTGCTTAGGAAATAGATCAAGGTGACACTACATAAAATTATAATCAGTCGATTATCACGTCCTTAAATTAAGTCAAACTAACTGATCACACACAAAATTAATTTTGAACACGAAATGAAAATATAATTTTCTATTCTTTTCCTTGGCACTGATATATTATAATACCTAAGTTAAGAAGTAACACCACCTCTATATTTAACATAAGTTTGTGATTACAAAGCTAACATTAGTCGATGATTCTACATTACTTATCGGTACAAAACAAATTTAAAAAGGAATAAACCAAGATCCACTACTTCCGAAAACCATTATTTTCTGTGCAGTGGACTACAACTTCCAATTTTTGTCATCATGAGAATTTCTCCTAAGGTCACTAGAAAATGGTCAGAATTATTAGAAGAATGGGAGGATTTATACAATATAAAGCAGTGTAGTTTATCTTGGCAACTCAATGGTTTTATGGATATCAAGAAAGGTATTCTGTCGTGAAGTGGCATTAATAATAATGTCTAGCGTAATGTTAGGAAGTTTGCTAAGGAGAATTCAAACGTATAAAGTGAATCAAAATTAAATTGGATAGTGTTTTGCTTGTTCAGGCAGGAGCTCGTCGGTGGCATGCCAGTCTTGAATCGACTCAGAAAGTCGAATTACTTCAAACCACCCGTATTCTAGTTAGCTACTCAGTTCACAAATTAACTCACAGTTTACACATTTCAAGGTGAAACTGCAAAACAGTTTCCTTTGCAAAAACTCAAATCATTCAGATCCCAATATGTGATCTACATGATGAGACAAACGGCAATCAAAAAAGCAGGTGAACTAGTTGTCCGGTGTTCAGATAGCTTTAGTCTGACCGGCTAATCAGCACTCTAGTGGAATAATTGTTTGAAAGATCTCTCCTGAACGATCTATTTACAATACTGAAAATTATTAGGCGATTTCAGCTAACTTTATGACTACTATCCTCTTTTCATCTAGTCTATATCTTCTAGTCTATATTCTTGTTGGCAGAATTTTCATTCTACCTTCTAGGGAATATTCTACGTGATGCTTACCGTTAATTTTGTTGCTCAGTACTTAGAAATTGTTGGTCTGTATAGTTACCTTACAACACTGTTGAGGGAATTTTGCGTCTTGTTATGTCATTATTAAGTGGTAACAAAGATTCCATAACTTCAAAGTGTTTTTTTTGATAGTGTTAGAATAACTTCAAAGTATGCATTACCCTCGGAGGTTCGGTGAGTTACATGATAGAAGGCAAAGACTGGTTTTCATGCACTCAGAACACAATACTTCGGTTTTGGTTAATATTCATATTATTCAGTCAGTAGTATGTATATAGTGCATTTATACTTGCTTTCTTGACTCTCACTTATGATATAAAGAAAAATTACATGGACCGTAATCTGAATAATTTCAGTTTCCAAACGAGACTGTGGTAAAGTTCCAATTCAGACTGTATGAACTGCAAGTTGCAAGTTCTATTCAACCAGAGTTTCTTATTATATTTACACCGAAACTCAAGAAACGATGAATCTGTCAATACTTTGCTTTGAAATTGGAATTTCGGTAAAGAAAGGAAGACGAAATTTGCAGTATAAAATGATATCATTCTATTTCACAGATTCTCACCAGCTACAGACTACCTGAAATTGCAATGGTATTATAGATGATAATGACATACTGTAATGTTTGAGTGGTAGTGGAGAAGAGATACTATGAAACTGATGCATCCAAAATGAAAGCATTACATTTTTTTAGTTTAAGTTTTCATCATCAATTTTACTAGATTGCACTCTAGTAATTGAAATTACCAGACATATTGTGTATACGGGATCTCTCGTAGAGATTTATAAATCCTTCAAAATATTAGAAAGATAAAGGACAGCAACTTTACTACGATTCGCCGAAGCGATCGCAATCAAACGACTTAAACCAGACTTATGCATACAGGAAAAGAGTGTGATTAACCTCTCATTCCCTTGGCAACAGAATTTTGACTTTGATTAGTCATCTAATTCAGTGATCTCAACTCACTGAACAAACTGTAACCGCTTTTGTTTCTTCAGTTGCTATGTTAACCTACAACGCTCTCAACAATACCAACAACCGAAGCAGAACTACCAGTGAACATTGACCCCCCAACAAAATCAGAAGTCCTGAATGGAATCAAGATGCTAAAACTTGGTAAAGAAGCAGGACCAGATAGAATCCCGGCAGAAGCATTCAAAATGAACCCAGAGACAACAGCGGAGTCGATGACACCACTACTGGAGAAGGTGTGGAAAGACGGCAAAGTACCCGAGGATTGGAAGAAACGATGCTTCTTCAAACTACCAAAGAAAGGAGACTTACGTCAATGCAAAAACTGACGTGGAATTATGCTCCTGTCCATCCCAAGCAAAATACTAAGCTGCATCATCCTCGAGAGAATCAAACAAGCCAACCTGGATGCAAAACTCTGACCGGAACAAGCTGGATTCAGGAGGAACAAATCAGGCATTGATCAAATCGTCACACTACGGATCATCATTGAGCAAAGCTTGGAATGGCAGTCACCTCTCTATCTCAACTTCATCGACTTCGAAAAGGCCTTCGACAGATGGCGTCGATCGAGAGGTGATTTGGTAACTACTTCGCTACTACGCGGTGCCACCAACAATTATACATCTCATCCAACAGTTGTACGACAATGCTGTATGCCAAGTAATCCACAACGGGAAACTTACGGAATCCTTCGAAGTGAAGACCGGAGTAAGACAAGCTGGCTGCCTACTATCTCCAATGATTTTCCTGATTGTGGGTGGTAGACTGGATAAGGCGACTGACAGTGGGCAGAGAGGAAACAGGCATAAAATGGACTCACACAAAAACTTGGAGGATCTGGACTTCGCCCGCGATGATATATGTCTGAATTCCCACAAACTGGAATTTATGCAAGTGAAAAGCAACAAACTGGCAGAAGAAGCATCAAAGACAGGACTTCAAGTGAACATAGAGAAAACAGAGGTGATGAAGATTCCTGGACAACAGCAACAACAACAACAACAGACAACAATCAGCCAGCATAAATGGGAGGAACCTGAAAGAAACAACCTCCTTCACTCACCTAACTGGGAAGCATCGTTTCATCTACAGGCGAACGGAACTGACGAGCATATCAAAGCCAGAATCGGAAAAGCAAAACAGGCTTTCATTTCCCTTAAGTCTGTGTGGAGGTCAACATCACTCAGCATCAAAAATAACATCTGGATTTTCAACTCCAATGTGAAGTCAGTGCTACTTAATGTACGGATCAGAGACTTGCACTGCGCGTCATAAAGAGCATCTCAAACAAACTTCAGACCTTCATTAACAGTTGTCTTCGCTCAACACCACTCAAGATCAGATGGCCGACCAGTAAGGATCACCAACAGGGATCTCTGGCAATGAGCGAACCAACCCAGCAGGAACCGATTGTGAAACAAATAGGCAGGAAGAAATGGAGATGGATTTGCCATACTCTGAGGAAACCAACAAGTGAAATCACACGACAGGCCATTACTCGAGTGGAACTCGAAAAGGAAGCGCAGAGTTGGTCGTTCAAGGGTGATTTGGAGGAGGTCATGTGAAGAGGAGATGAAAGCATGTGGGCAGACCTGGAGCTGAGTGAAAAAGTTGGCAGAATACAGAAGGCAATGGAGACGCGCAGCTGAAGCCCTATGTTCCTCGGGGAATTAAAGGATATAATAGTAATAATAATAATGTGAACCTGCAAGCTAACACTGTTCTGTTAATCAATTTTTTCTGTTTTCTGTCTTACCCCTCCCGCCTCTTTTCAACTTTAATAGCGTATAAATTGATGATGATAATTTAAACTAAAAAATGGTATCGCTTTCATTTTGGATGCATCAATTTCATAGTATCTCTTCTCCACTACCACTCAAACATTACAGTATGTCATTATCATCTATAATACCATTGCAATTTCAGGTAGTCTGTAGCTGGTGAGAATCTGTGAAATAGAATGATATCATTTTATACTGCAAATTTCGTCTTCTCTTCTTTATCGAAATTTTTCGATGGAACCAAATGTATGAAACTGGAATCTGACCAGAAATTCAAAATTTCGGTCAATCTGGAAATCCGCAAAGAGATACGGTAACCTTGGTAGTCAACGGTCATGTATTCATTCTTCAGGAAACAAGAATGCGTTTTTATTTTGTGGTGTCTGTAAAGAAGAATTTGAGCATTGTTCACCAGTTCAAATTCTTTAATATTTGGATAAATATTTCTCGTTCCTAACAAAAATAAACAGCCCAGAAAATACAGAGTATTACGATTGTCCCACTTACTTATGGACTGAACATGATCCATAATACGAATCAATAGCTTACGAGCTGCTAGCCAGTCATAATTAGGCTGCTGGTCCGTTGAATATGGTGATTTATTAAGACCTCCACGGTTCATAGATGAATCTGTTGGTATTGTCTCATTAGGATTTAGTCTAGTGTGCATTCTAGTTGATCTAATTGATATAGAACTTCTAATGTGATTAACTTGATGTTCACATTGATATTGCCTGAAAGCAGTTTGTAAAATACTACTGAATGCAAGACAGGCTGTTGCACAATGCGGCATTGATGTTACCTGATGTCTACATAATTCACAATTATGCTTTCTAATTGATTCTCTGGCTGATTTATGCTTTTTCTGATTTAATAATGCACCAGTTTTATTTGTCGTTGAATGACACGGTCGAAAAGTTGATGTGTTACAGTCAGTGATCTGAGTAATTGATGCACATGCACTGTATAAACTAGATGAAAGAATTTCAACTTCAGATACTGGAAATAAAGTGATCTCTAATTCTTCTGCACCCAAAATTAGTTTAAATTCATTATCAGCATCGAGATGGTGATGCGGTTGTTGTTGTTGTTGTTGTTGAGGTTGTTTGAGTTTGTCCACTTCTGTTGAATTCTTTGAGGAATATCTCAAAAGATAAGCGAATTGATTTTCATCTTTAAAACGTTTCAGACCTGAATTCACATCGAAATCTGTATAGTATTTAATACCTTGTTTATTTTGTTTCACCTTTCGGCCGAAATACTTAAGAAAAGGAAACAGAGAACAGAAAGAGAGAGAGACAGAGCAAGCTTTAGTCCTCTTGTGTAATGGAAATGAACTAGGCAAGTGTTATTGATTTACTGGAGCGTTGGTGGCACAGTGGTTAGGACTCTCGCCTGCCATGCACATGGTCCGGGGTTCGAGCCCGCACCGATGCACACCTGATATCTATGGTCGGCCTGCAAAATTTGGGCTACCGATATCCATGCTGAAAATTCCACACTTGTACCGAAAATACGGTGTGGAATCAAGCTGTAAATCAAAAAAAAAATACAAGAATTAAAGCTGTAAACATACAACACTGTATTTTACAATCAAATATGTCCGACAATTCGGAAATAAAATAACCAGTCAATTGTTAGTATTACTTGTTTCGTATTTTATGTGCTGTTTGCAAGGATTTGATTGATTTTAAGAATGACCACGAATTTAGAAAAGCATTGAAAGCAGATAGGGAATATTCGACAGTTGTTTCATCCCCATTTGGGACTCCTCAGTAGTACACAATTATCACATCACTACTAGGGTTCGGTCTAAGGACCACGTTCAACGTGAGCATTCTGCCAGTGGGACGGAATTCATTGACGGACTGATGAGTTCTAACTTCTATCAATTATCGATGTACAGTGCCACCGTCAGACAATGTCATTAGTGAGTATTTGTCATCCTCACCCAAACTGGTGGGGCAAGGTACTCCTGACTTCCCACTAGACTAACTTCCTGCAATTTCATCCTGTAGTCAGTTTCTAGTAAGCAGTAAATTAATTTTCATCTGTCTGCTACTCCCTAGTGCTTTTCAATAGTTGTAGTCACTTTGAAATCAATCAAACTTCCCTACAAACCAGAACTTGAAAATTAATCTAATGGTCACTGGTGGATAACTACAGGATGAAGTTGTCTGAAGTTCTAGTGGGAAATCGTGCCAGTAGGGTCCACCAATTTGAGTATGAAGATACATACTCGCCGATGATATTGGCTTGCTGTGATGCTATTTAGCGAAAATTGGCAGAAATTTGGAATTTTAGTTTGTTTCCACTAATAAAATAAACGTATTCACATGGTTACTTAGACTAATTTAGTCCAGACACGTGAACCCTATACGTATGTCTGCCATATTGACAATAACGCAGGTAACGTTATCCATGGTATTTCTGGAACATTCAAGTAAATAAGACCAGAAATCATCTAGAATTCGGCACTATGACTGCAATATGTTTTGAATACTCTAACAGTATGGCAGATACTGTTAGTACCACATGGATGAATTAATCAGGACAATATCAGAATAATATGTGATGACTTAGCGCCCATAGCAATCATATTAGGTATTCTTATGCATTCACATTTTATCCACTGAAGTAAAATAGTAAGTCACTAGCTATAATAGTGACACCTGACTGGTAATCACTTCTGCGTATATAAAGATATCGTCACGGATGAGGATATTGGAGCTAGTCAGGTTGGAAAAATCAAGACAGACCTTTATTACTTGGAAATTTGTGTGGAAATTTACTGCATGCAACATAAATAACGACATCTGGCTTTTCGACATTAATATCAAATCAGTCAGTTGTTCTATGTCGTTCAGAGAACAGGTACCTTACAAAAAGCATTTCCAACAGCCAGGTGTAAGCCTTCATCAACAGTTGTCTTGGCCAGAAAAAATAACCAAAAAGGAACTTTGGGAATGAATCAACCAAGAACTTATCCCCAAAGGAATTTACAAGATAAAATACAGATGGATTGCACATACACTGAAGAGACCACTGGCGACATCACATATCAAGCAATCCCTCGAGTGGAATCTGCATGGAAAACAGCGAGTTGGATATCCGAGGGTGACATGAAGGAGACCATGCAAGGGGAGAAAATGAAAGCCTGTGAGAAGTTGTGGATTCAGCTAGGAAAGCCAACAGAAAACAGCAAAACGGAGATACACTGGTGACGCACTATATTCCAGTCAGAATTCAAAGGAAAAATATATAAATATGTACGTAAATTTTATAGTTCGTAATTTTATTGCTGTATGAGAAAGATAAACAACTACTACAGACTTTGGTAATCAGGTATGTTAGCTGTTTTCAACCAACGTTATACAATTCCTTGTCGGTCTACCCAGCCGCTAAGTGAACAGAAAACACTGAGGCAAGAAGGCAAAGTACTCTGACATTGAGAATAGTACTGGTTGCAGTGCGCAGGTGTTTTAAAAAGGATAGAATCAATTAGTTATCTGTCAGTCAATTCATGGATAATCCCCATCCAGGCATTAATGAAAACAAAACACGTAGATCAGCGAAGAGTCTCTTTTCGGCGAATTCATTTTCTTAGCTGTACAATCGCAAATATATATGCATTGTTTTGTATGTATGCGTACATTAAGTTTGTCAAACAAAGTTACAATTGGTTAAGGTTACTTTTAACTAAGCAAGTGAAGGTTGGTAATACAGGTCAAGAAAATTAAGTGCTAATGAAACTAGGGTAGTAAAAAAAATGATGAGTTGTCACAAACAGTTGTAATAATAATAGTGAGTTTTACTCAGGATGCACATAGAAACAAAGTATATAATACGAAACTATGTAAGAGATTTAAGTGAATACAAGAATTATAAGCAATTAAGGAACAGGCAAAGAAACAAAATTAAGTCATCAAAATAAAAATAAAAGCTCAAAACAAATCAAAACATTGTTACCATGAGAGTAGAAGTGGTTGAGTAATCTTCTTTTGTATGCACAGCTCCGGTTTTTCCATGTGGATGGCCAGAGCTTCAGCGATGAAAAGGAGACGAAACCGTATTGCCTTTGATATGTTATTCTTGACTCTGTAGATTACTTTGAAGGAGGCGTTCGTTGAAATGCAATGATCAGTGTTGACCAGGTGTTCAATTATCGCACTCCTTATTGCACCAGTATTGCCTTTTCGCAACCATGCTGGATAATGTTCTTGAATTCTCTTGGACAGGATGCGCGTCGAACGACCGATGTACCTGGCTCCACAGCAGCAGGTGAACTGGTATATGCACATAGAAGTGGCCAGATGCGGGATCTTGTCCTTGAGGCTTCTGCAGATCAGTGGGCGACTGGAGAACACTATTCGTAGCGTTGCTGCAAAGAACGTTCTTCTCAGAGATGATGTGATCCTTCTCTTGAGAATATCGCTTGCTAAATCTCCCTTGAAATCCAAATTCATGTAGATTTTCTTTTTAGGCGCAGTTAAAGTTTCGTTTTTCCAGAATTATTGGTTTCATATTTTTGTCGATAAATCTTATTGGGTATCCATTTTGGATGAATATTTCTCTCAGTGCTTCTGAATCGAAGAGACTACATCGAGAAAATGAACGATATACTGTCGAATGAAGACAAATTTTCCCAACCTTCCAATGAAAGAAACAAGACGGAACAGATTGAGAAGCAGCTCACAGATGTCTTGAAGAGAATGAAGGCCAGTCAACTAATCAGTGGGGATATCTACGATCAGATCCGGCCAACAGGTTCAATAATACCAAGACTTTATGGTCTACCAAAGGTACACAAGGTTGGTCTCCCACTTCGTCCAATTCTGGATATGTCAGGTTCCCCTTACCACTCTATTGCACAATGGCTAGCAGATATTCTGGAACCTGTAAGGAAGCAATTATGTACGTACTCGCTCCGTGACACCTTCCAGTTCATCGAGTGCATACAAGACACGAATGTATCTAACAAAATTATGCTGTCCTTCGACATCGAGTCACTTTTCACCAATGTCCCACTCACAGAAACGGTCTGCTTCATATGCAGATATATAGATGACAACCACCTCGATATTGGAATACCGACAACATACTTGAAAGAACTATTATTGAGATGCACTCTGAACGTCCAGTTCACATTCAACGACACCATCTACAGACAAAAGGATGGTATTGCAATGGGATCTCCGTTGGGTCCACTACTATCAGATTGCTTCGTGGCAAGCCTCGAGAGAGGTTCACTAAAGCCAAGCATCGACAATTTGCGACTGTATAAAAGATACGTGGATGACATTTTCATTATTTGTGACAACAACAACGACCCCAATCTGCTGCTGAAGACATTTAACAATTGCCATCCAGCAATAAAATTCACTCTTGAAATGGAAAACGAGTCAAAAATTCCGTTTCTTGATGTGGAACTGACAAGAAGAGCTGATGGGAGCCTAAGAAGATCAATCCATAGAAAACCTACGTGGAATGGTCAACTAACAAGCTTCTATAGCTGGGTGCCCATTCAACAAAAGCGAAACTTAATTAAATCACTTGCTACCCGCATCCGACGCATCTGTAGTCCCGACGTTCTGGAAACAGAATTAGATATTCTGAGAGAAATATTCATCCAAAATGGATACCCAATAAGATTTATCGACAAAAATATGAAACCAATAATTCGGAAAAACGAAACTTTAACTGTGCCTAAAAAGAAAATCTACATGAATTTGGATTTCAAGGGAGATTTAGCAAGCGATATTCTCAAGAGAAGGATCACATCATCTCTGAGAAGAACGTTCTTTGCAGCAACGCTACGAATAGTGTTCTCCAGTCGCCCACTGATCTGCAGAAGCCTCAAGGACAAGATCCCGCATCTGGCCACTTCTATGTGCATATACCAGTTCACCTGCTGCTGTGGAGCCAGGTACATCGGTCGTTCGACGCGCATCCTGTCCAAGAGAATTCAAGAACATTATCCAGCATGGTTGCGAAAAGGCAATACTGGTGCAATAAGGAGTGCGATAATTGAACACCTGGTCAACACTGATCATTGCATTTCAACGAACGCCTCCTTCAAAGTAATCTACAGAGTCAAGAATAACATATCAAAGGCAATACGGTTTCGTCTCCTTTGCATCGCTGAAGCTCTGGCCATTCACATGGAAAAACCGGAGCTGTGCATACAAAAGAAGATTACTCAACCACTTCTACTCTCATGGTAACAATGTTTTGATTTGTTTTGAGCTTTTATTTTTATTT